GACCAAAATAGACTAGTTTGGACGTTTTTATAAAGTGGACATGAAATTAATGATTTTCAAAGACACGAAATGAATGGTTTTGGTTTAAAACATTTAAAGAAAGGTTAGAAATGATTAAGGCTAAAGGAAATTCACGAGTCTCTTTAACCCTTCACCTAACTCAATAATCAAAGACGTGAAAGGTACTCATCACTGGTTCGGTTTTTGGGGAAACACAATAAGGTGTCTACACCAGGGTACTAAAAGGCGTCTCAATAAGTATATCGTTGTATATATTTATCCTTCAGTCCTTTTAAAAGAGCATACACAATTCAAAACTTATAAGTTTTGAAATGCTCTCATTTTGTAATAATCTTATTTTTATAAATATTAAGTAATGTTTATATTCTGTGTTTAATATTTGCAGAGTTAGACATATACAATGATTTATATTTATGCTTGAAAAGTCATAATTTGGTTGGTTTCAAACGCCATCAACCACCCAAATTAGGGAGGCATTTGTTACACCCAAAAATTGAAATTTTGACTTTTTGTTTGACTTTCTTGACTTTGACCAAGTTAAGAGGTTTCCAGAGTTAGTGAAAGGTCTTTAGGCTAATTTGATCAAAAACATATTAGTAACTAGGCTGGTATTATGTAAAGGCCCAATAACATATAGGCCGGTTAAGAGGCTAATGGATGATTTTAATTTTCAAAGAAGTGTTGGCGCCAAGAAGCATAACCGTACAACAGTTATGGGAGTCAGCCTTAACCGCTCCATTTTGCCTATAAATAGAAGTACAAGGATCGAAAGAAGACATTAGCAAATCAATCAACAACAAGCATTTCATTTCTTTTAAGCTTTCTTCTTAGCTTTCGTAGTTTCCCTTGGCTTCGTAGCCAAGCAATAGTGTAGTTATCACGTAGCATGTATTGAAGATCGATCGTCTTTTCCAATTGTATGATCATGGAGGTAACCTCTCCTTCAACTTGTACAATTGTAGACCTGACTCTATCCCTTAATTAATGGAGTGCATTTGTTTCTTTTGTCATATGTTTAACTACTCATTTCTTTAAGCAGTCTAACTTGTTTTACTTCTTTCAGGAAATCTTCCTTATTGTTTTGTTTTATGTTAGCAAGGTTATCAATCTTTGAAACCGGTAACTTGAGGGGCAGCCCCCTAATACTCTAGAACAAGATAGGGTATTTGACTTGTTGGTAAAAAAACAATATTTACCGCAACAACTGTATTGATGAATTTACTAATTAAAGACTTTAAGAGTGATTAATGTTTTTTTTTATTTTCTTAATGAGTTAAGAGTGATTAATTTACCTCTTTATTTTTATTTTTATTTTTTTATTTTTTTTTGCGGCAACTCCTCATTATACTAAGGGTTTTTTATTTATTTTTCTAATAAATTTTAAATACAATGGTAGCGACTACCGACTTAGTTGCAATATTAGTTGTAAATTTTAAATTAAAAAATATTTCAAAATAATTAACACTAGCAACTGCAATTTAGTCTCAAAAATTATAAGAGCGTTGCAATTTAGCGACCGCATTGCAACTACTGAAAAATGAGTCGCAAAATTAGCGACTAATCATCTCTGTCAGTCATAAAAAAAAAAAAATTCTGCGACTATTTATTATAGTAGTCGCAAAATTCAGTTGTTAATTCCCCTTTTCTTGTAGTGAATTATCTCATCATGATTTCTAGTCTTATGTCTCCTAGCCAACTTAATTTTCTTATGACTAAACAACAAATCAAAGATTTCATCACACCTCCTAATATCAAAGATGTACTCCCTCTTTTGATCAAACTTCAAGTTTTTTTTATAAGAAAATTTCTTAATAGTTAAAGGCGGACATACAAATAAAGGACCCTAAGCTATACAAACTCAGCTATTGTTGCTTCATACAAGTCATATTCCTGATCACATTCCTCTGCCATACTGGCATAATACTTATGCTTAGATTTAGATTCCTCTTGTAAACATCTTTTATAGGCCATAACAGCGCTAAGCAATTCAACAAAATCAGGATAGAATTTCCCTTCAAACTTCTTCCTAAAAGGAAAGGATAAACCCTTTTAGACATTAGACACAAACTTTGACTCTGATATGTTCAAGTGACATTTGATTCTAGCATTCTTGAATCTTAGAATGTAATCTTCTACTGATTCCCCTTTTCCCTAAACAATCCTTGCCAAATCACCTATAGTAACCCTAGCTTCAACCCTAGTAAAGTGGCGTAGGAATTGTGTTTGCATATCCTGCCAATTTTTCATTGAATTAGGTGGAAAATGAGTGAACCAAGAGAATGTAGTACTAGTCAAAGAACTAGAAAACATCCTAAGTTTAAGGATTTCATTGCCGGCAGCCTGTTTACACTGAAAGTTAATTCTAAACAAATGTTCTTAAACAAATATAGTATTGTCGCTAGAGAAGAGAGGGGAGAATTCATGAACCTTAAATTCCCTTGGGAATGGAATTAATAGATACATTCTATCAATCCATTCAGGTATGGATTGCATGTTCCTCTCCTAGCATGACCACCATTTTAACCCGTCGCTCTTCAGGTCATTTCCTCCACTTTGCTGAGCAAAGGTTCTTTCCCCAACTATGGAGGTTGACCATGTGTTGAGCCATTAGGCTGGAATGGTACATCGTGTCTAGGAAAAGGGTTTTGGGGATTCCCTTAAGGATTATGACACCAGGATTTGGTTAGGGCATCGCTGGATACCTATCACTAAATGGACCACTAGCTTGCCCCTGATTCCATGACGAACCTTGTGTAAGGTGAATAGAGTTAGAATACCCATATTGGTGTTGATTATAATTCCCAGGTTGTGCGAAAGATTGGGGACCTTGTACACCAACAGGCTGAGAGGGTATCCTTTGTGCAAATGCACCAACTTGAGTATTGCATGTAGTATCTGGTAGGTTTCCAATACCATTGTTGGTGTATCCAGTCCCATCCTCTACTCCCATAAAAGGTATTATTCCCATTAAAGAGGTTAATGGGTATGAAGTAATGGATGGGGGCAAAGACGAGGAAGATGGGCCCTAACCATTATGGTTATAGACTGACTTATAACCTGACTTGGAACCAATAACTCTTCATTGTCCTCTATACCCCCCATCGGCACAAATAGGAGGGATACTTCTTGGTACTGATAGAGGGGGCAGATTAGCATGAGATCTTATCATATTATCTATTCCAGGGTATTCTAGAAGGATATTCTCCCTTTGATTTGCTTCATTAATCCCACTACCTAGAGTAGTTAAACACTCATCAACTTCTGATTGAATTGGTTATGCTTCTCCACTGAGAATTCAAGCCTTGTAACTATTTCGGTTGTTGACCCTTTGATAAAGCCACGTTAGTAGCGTTCAGAGTTTCATTAATATCTAGGATAATCCTATCTACCTGTCTGCTAATCGCTTATTGAGAACTAGAACCAAATTTCTTAATTAACTCAACAGTCATCACTCTAGCGATTCCTTCCACCATGACACGATAGTAGCTGTCAAACTACTCTCTATTATTTTCTTTTAAATCTTCCATCAAATTTTTTACAATATCTACATATATGTCATATATATAATATTGAGTAAGTTTCTAGTGGGAGAATGACTTTCTCCTATGTTGAGAACTAAATCTTCTTACCTTTGTGTTTGAGGCTCGAGTTGTTCAGAAGATTGTACCATATATTCAGTTTGTAGTTGGTTTTCTAGATCTTGCTGATCCTCTAAAATGGTTTTAGGATTGCGTTAAGATGAAATAGCATCTTCCTGAATGTTTCCTTTACGTGCTAAACGTTTAGGAGCCATGGGAAAACTTCCAAGTACTCAGAGTTAAATGAATTTAGTTTAATTTTCTCCCACTGTGGTTGCCAAAAAACTTGTTGGTGTAAATATTGTTCTTTACCAACAAGTCAAATACCCTATCTTATCTTGTTTTAGACTATTAAGGGGTTGCCTCTCTTGTTATTGGTTTCAAAAGATTGACAACCTTGCTAACGTAACACAACAAAACAGTAAAGAAATTTCCTCAAAGAAGCTAAACAAGTTAAATTGCTAAATAAACGAGTAGATAAACATATGACAAAAGATGCAAATGATTTCCATTAATTGAAAGATAAAGTCAGGGCTACAATTGTACAACTTGAAGGAGAGGCTACCTCCATATTCATTCAATTGGAAAGGACGATTGATCTTCAATATATGCTAATAGCTAAACTAAACTATCGCTTGGCTACTAAGCCAAGGGAAATCTAAAGAAGCTAAGAAGAAAGCTTAAAGAAAATGAGATGCTTTTGTTGGTTAATTTTCTAGATTTCGTTCTCTTGCTCATCCACTTCTATTTCTAGACAAAATTAGTGCGGTTTTACCCCCACTATTCCAACAATCGCTAGGCAAAGTTTTGGCGCCAGTTCTTCTTTTTAAATTAAAATACCTTGTTTGCTTCAAAACTGGTCCTGTTCTTCTCCTTCATCCATTGAACACACTTTCATCATTTGATTAAGGCTTTTACTGAATTATAAAGTTCATTCTCCCTTGGTTAACAAGTCAAAGTCAAAATAAATCAAGATTTTGGATTTTGGGTGTAACAAATTGATTTCCTTTTTCCCTTTTCACTTTCAAAGATCATTTACTATTTTTTACATGAAAAAAATCTTATATTTTAGGATTTGTAAAATGAGGGGTTAAATTGTTTCTAACTCTTGAAGCTTTTGCTAATAATTGTTAGAGATGAGCACTTTTTTTTTTATTAATTTTTTTTACTTTTGCTCATTTAATTAGTAGAACGAATATACATGGTCTGAACCCTTCTTTAACTCTTGTTTACTTTATATCTAATTACGAACCAATCCGCAGAGTAATCTTCTAATTTACGCCCAACAACAATAATAATTCTAAAATTTTAACTCAAATAAAGTTTTCACTATTCAAACGAATATTATTTTCTCGATCAAATATATATAAGTGAGTGAAGATATATTATTATGTTTTGTTTATTTAAATCAAATTAACAAATTTTATAAGCGAGTTTTACCTTGTAAGATACAACTGGTTGTATGATACACGAGCTATGGATAATATAAACCACAAGAAATAAGTACATTCCAATTGTGCTATACTTAAGATTCAAGCTATTGAACCCATTTATGTTATTCAAAAAATATAACCCATTTGCCAATCCAACAGCAACTCCTCTCCTTGATTCTCTCCCAAAAAAATTGATATAAAAAAGAAAGAAGTAGAAGCAATAATTAAGAGATTATTATAAGTTTCCATGTACGTAAGTTCCTATGAATTGTGACCATTCCTCACATTACACTCCATAAATACTCACATCTTAACCACTTCCTTATTCCCATTTCACTACTTCACCCCATTCTTTCCTGTTTGTTTCCCTCTCATTTTTCTCTGTCGATCTTTTTCTTACACACACCCACCCGCGTATAGGCTGATATTAATGAGCAATATGAGGGTGTTTAATGTGTTGTGTTTCGGCGTAATTTCCTTGCTTTCAATTTTTTCCTCCGTGAATGGCAGAGTTCCAGGTGTTTACCAAGGTGGGCCGTGGACACCTGCTCATGCTACCTTCTATGGCGGCGATGATGCTTCTGGAACTATGGGTATGTTACTATATATATCCATCAATACTTTCTGTTTAATCCCTTTTTTGATGGTTACACAAAAGTTGCTGAATCAATGAGTCGTTTAGTTTTGTTTCAGTTTTTAAGACGTTACTCGTACTTTTTTGTACAAAGGCCCCATTTTGAAATAGTCCGATAGTTTGACTTCTATTAGTGCTATTATGATAAATTAAGAATCCTCTTTTAGCGTACTTATATGTGTTCGTTATTTGTTTTTATTGAATTTTACATAGACATAGTTTAGGTGATAAATAAATCGAATGTATGAAGTTTGTAGGAAAGTATACTTTAGACTGAAGTCAGGGTATTTTCTTTGAAAAAGAATCCACATCATTTTTACATGACATTAGGCTTCATTTATACATAATTCTATGTTATACTTGTATACTAAGGTTTTGTTCTTTTGTAGTTAATTTTAATTCAACCTACTTCAACTCAAAAGAATAGAGCCGTCTAAGTGTCATTATGACTTGAGGATACATGTAAAATTATTACAAATAATTATTCTATTTGTACTTAGAATTATTGATAAGTAATAATGATTCATGTGAGTAATATATGAAGGCCAGGCATTGCCTATCTAAATAATTGGTGGGTGTACGTATGTTACTACTTAAACAAACACTAAAATTCTTATTATTAATGAGCTTTGTGAAATTAACTAATTCATTTAGCTAGTAATATCTGAGAAGATAACATATTCAAATAAAAAAAAAATTGTAAGAATTGTTGATTATGATAATTGATATGTATGTTTCCCAAAATAAAATGCAGGAGGAGCATGTGGGTATGGAAACTTATACAGCGCAGGATACGGAACAAGTACTGCAGCACTAAGCACAGCATTGTTCAACAAAGGTTTAACATGTGGTGCATGCTTTGAGCTCAAGTGTATTAATGATCCACAGTGGTGTAATCCTGGCAACCCTTCCATCATTATTACTGCCACCAATTTTTGCCCTCCTAACTATGCTCAGTCGAGCGATGATGGTGGCTGGTGCAACCCTCCTCGCGAGCATTTTGACCTCGCCATGCCTATTTTCAGCAAGCTTGCCCAGTTCAAAGCCGGAATCATCCCTGTGAATTACCGCCGGTGAGTCCTGTTTTTTCTTTCTCTAACCAGGAAAGTTAGTTTTACGTATTGTGCTTGTTTTTGCAAGTTGTCATCGTTAAATAATAGTTCACTTTGAATTAACTAGGATTATTATACTAACAGTATAACAAGTTTAATTGGTTAAAGTCTTAGATTACTCTTGCTGCTTCTCTATATACCATAAAAACACCACTTTGATTACAAACAATGTCTAAAATGTTAAAACATATTTTCATGGGTTTCACCAACTTTCATAGTTAGTAATCAATTAACGTAATCAAATGGTTTTGTTAAAACAAAAACAAAACAAATATATATATATATGTATATATACTATGTTTATAAAAACTCTAGTTTTAAAATCATGCTATGTTTTTTTAAATTTCAATATGAACCTCGACTATATTGAATATCATATTAAATGGGAAGAAAAAAAAACATATCGTAATTTGTAATTGTGTTTCCAAAACTTAAGAAACTGTCTATAAGTAAACTACAAACAAAATCAATCATTATTCACTAATTAGCATCCATTTCATTGGACATTAAAGTTTTTCATTATGATTTTTGAGAGAAGTGAGAGTGGGCCTTTGTAGGTGTATGGATCTTTCCCTTCTTAAATTATGACCTCCTTAAATAGAATATAAAATTAACTTGATAATAACAAAGTTGATCATATTTGATTGCATTGGTAAATGGTCCAAGCCCATGTAAATCACAAAGAAACTGACCAATTCCCTTGTCTTTTACTCAAAAAAAGCAAATCCATTAGAAAGTTTCGGTGGATATATAACTTACATATTGCCTCTTCAAGAAAAGATCCAAAGTTTTCAATCACTATTCTAACAAGGTTATTAAAAGACAAGAACTCTTCTTGAGTAGTGCTCCATATAAAAACATCGTTTTAGACAGTGAGTGTACAAATTAAATTAAGTTAAGGGTAATGCTATATATAGTGCTCAGGGTTACAAGTAAATATTTAATATTTTTTTAATTTGGTATTAATTTTTGGAATACATGATAAAATCAAACGTAAATCAGTGTAATTAATAGTATGTTTTCATTTGTTTTTTCCATTATTAACTTCTTATACGAAGTCCTTAAACGAAGTCCTTAAGAATATGTATAACATATTTCTTAAATTAATAAAGGAAAGGTGGAAGGTGGTTTCTTATGTTTATACTAATATAAGAGGTCCATATTATATTAATTTTAATTTAAATAATTAATTTGGACCATCTCCAATTCTCCCTCTTATTAGCATTCGCGAAGGCACGAAGCTATACTCTTGTGGGATGATTTACAAAAGTATGGTTACTTTAAAACTTATTTACACTTTTGCGTCGGAATCAAACTTAATTACGGAACTACTGTCCACATAGACTCGGATAAGTTTATTTTTGTTTTTTATTTTTCAGAGTAAAACCGCTACCTCAAGTAGCGATTTATGTACTAAAACCGCTACCTCAAGTAGCAGTTTATGTACTAAAACCGCTACTTAAGATAGCGGTTTTACCCTTTATAAGTTGCTACCTCGTATCTTACTTGGAGTACTAAAGATAATCCGCTACCTTAAGTAGCGGTTGTAGGCTATAACTGCTACTTAAGGTAGTGGTTTGTCTCTAAAGAGAAAATTACCCCAAATGTATTACCGAGGCTACGTGGATTGTATTTTCGTAAATAAGTTTCATTCCAACGCAAAACCGTAAATAAGTTTTTTAAAAGCTATATTTTTGTAAATCATCCATACTTTTGTATAGTCAAGAAATGAACATAAAAAGAAAAAAAAAAAAAATCACTTCTGAAAAATAACAAAAAACCACAAATTAAAAGCAAAGATTATACTCTTATTTCATCCCAAAGTGTATTAAAAATAAGTTATACTACATACAGTTTATATGTATCAGTTTTGATATAAATCTCCTATGGATCACGTAAAACTTATAACAAATACACGCATAGACAATATGCAAATTTAATAAGGTCACATATAACGTTTGTTCACTAATAAGAAAAAAATATATATATGTGCGTGAAAGGCGGAAGATGCACGAGAGAGACGCAATATGAGAGCATGAAAATAAAGTGCAGGAATGAGCGAAAAATCCGAGTGAGTCACATGCAGATAATATAATGAAGGATCTGTCTTCGTTCATGGGAGTGAGTCATATCATGCTCCCACCTCAATTATTATTGATTTTTTTCAATTAATAACATGTTTTAAAACAAGTAATAATGGATGATAACATGCTCCTCAATTGTATATATTTTTTTTCAAGCTTATAAATGCATATTAATTAAAACTGTGATTAGTGATTTACATATAAACACCCCAACCTTCGCATCTCTAGAAAAGAAGAAATAAAATAAAAAAATAAAACAAAATGGATCTTTTTGTTTAGCCAAGTTAATTAGAACTTATCCTGTCAAAAAAAGTTAATTATTACTTAATAAGTACTCCGTACTTTCTTTGATTGGATTACTTTTAAAACTTTTTGTATAATAAACTTGTCACATACTACTTACACACATATGTTGAAGGAACTTAAAAATAATAAATGGAATAAAAATATTGATTACATCGATATTTTTTCACTCCTGAACATTACATATTTCATTACACTATTTAAAAAAATAAATAAATAAAAAGGTAGTCACCGCATTATTTATAGATATTTCTGTCACTTCTTTTTGAGACAATTTCACTTAATTTTTACTTTATTTAAAAATTATATTATACAAAATAATAACTACTATAATCACAGTAAATTAAGAAGATAATCAATCAATGTATTTAGTTTTGAGTCATGCTAAACCAATATCAATTAAAAGTTAAGTCATTATAATCAGATTGGATCAATTTTTGACACAATGACAACTCTAAATATAATTTATGTTTGGATTTGTGTGAATAGGGTGCCATGCAGGAAGTCGGGAGGAATAAGATTCACAATGAACGGTTCACAATACTTTAATTTAGTATTGATCACAAATGTTGCTGGAGCAGGAGATGCCATACGTGTAAGAGTGAAAGGTACAAAAACAGATTGGTTAAGTATGAGTCGTAATTGGGGTCAAAATTGGCAATCCAACGTCGTTTTGGTTGGTCAAGCACTCTCCTTCCGAGTCACTACTAGTGACCATCGTACCTCTACTACATTGAACTTGGCACCAGCTAACTGGCAATTTGGTCAAACTTACGTTGGCAAGAACTTCAAAGTACGCTAATTGATTAATTAATCCATGAATATGATTAATCTCATGGATTAATTAATTACATCTTTCTGAGCTTAATTATATTATAATTATTATTCCATATGCATGCAATTCTTAGTTTATTTCTCACCATCTCTAATTGTATTCTCTTTAATTTTCATGAGAAAAATAGAGTGGTGGAGATATATAGGTGATTTATAGTAGCATATTATATATTCAATCACTTATCTTGAGTGAGGGTTAATTAGTTACTATTGTCTGTCAAAATGGTAACTAAATATGCTTGTTTTATAGTGGCTGAAGCGGTTGCAAATGACAAAATCAAAACGTAACCCGCAGTTTACTCTTTTTATTATTATTATTATTTTATACTCCATATATAAAACGTATAAGTGTATTGTATTGTATTTCAATGTTTACTAGTGATTATTGTTAGTGTATCAAATAAATAAAGTTGTTGTTCATTGTTACTTCCTTTTAAACTGAATGGTTAGTTTACCAACAAGTCTATCTAGATTCTTTTTCAAATAATAACACACTGCACGTAATAATGATGCATCGTAATAATGATGCATCCTAATGTTACTCTCTCGGCAGTTGCGTTGACTAAGATATTACACAAGTACCGTTTAGACACGATCAGGTCCAATCAAATGCATAGTACTCCGTTTCATATTATTTATAACGATTTGATATAAAATTAGTGTGTGGCTCGGGCGATGCCGCGGATTGCTAGTTTATACTTCTTTAATTTGATATAAAATTATGTCCTACTGTTTGTATAGTTATTGTGTGGTTCGACCGTTGTCTTGGGTGTTATTGGGGTTTTTTTTTTTTACCTCGTATGTATTTATTTTCTAATCTTGTGAAATATAAATAAAAAATATAACCTCTAATAAACTAATATATTAAAGGGATATATAATATTAATTATATGAAATTTAAAACGTTAATCAAAGTTGGTTGAGATGGGAAATGTTTGACCTTTGTATTTTGGAGGTTACATGTTCGCTTCTCGCTCAAAGCATAATTTATAGTGACATGACATATAGATATAGATGTGAGATAAAAAATATCTAACCGTTACAAATAATATGAAACAGAAATTACCTCTATAGCTCCACGACATCTAGTATTTCTCCTACAAGGGATTGTTTATGGTTCTGCTTCATAGAATAATCTGCAGATTCTCTCTCAATAGTGTGCACATCCGTTTGATATACTTCTTAGCTTTTACATCTGCAACAAACAAGAAGCCATTAACTATGACATTCGAGCAATTGTGTTAATCTAATAAAGTCCTTTAGCTCGATGATTAATTACTATGAATCACTAATTATGCCTTTAATCTCTGCTACTTTCATGTTCATCGTTTCACCCTATACGCACACTTGTTCGGTTGTTCTTAAGCACCTTTTTCCTTGATGGCAAAATTTTCAATTAGCAATAAACAAACCTGATACTTGGTCAAAATTTTAGGAACTAGACCCAGAATGGGTTAGGACAAGTTCTAAGAAATTGAAACCAGAACTAGAACCAATCAACACTATCCCTAAAGTTTCAGTCATATCTGTTTTTATAAGGACTAATCCATTTATAACCTTAATTTTTTTGGTTGTAAGTTAGTACATTAATACAAAATTTGTTTATGGTAGCTAAAGTCTCTCTCTTCTCAAAGTGATGATACCAGTGGGACTACTATTAAGAGTTTAACACTGAAGAATAAAATGAGTAGTTTTTTTAAGAATAGAGCACAAGAAGAAATTAGGAATTATACGCACAATTTTGCTTATGGCTCCTTTTGCATCATTTCAAAAGCAAGTTCTGTTTGTTTTCACCATTAATGACATTTAATTAAGTTAAGCAACTAAATACGACCAGCAGCAAGCTCAAAGAGAATAAGAACACATGGTCGTAGGGGGCTCATATAGATCGATAACCATCACAATGCAATTTATGCCCAGAGACCTACAGTGATTTTAGGAGAAAGATATGTCTACAAATATAAGCAGAGATTTTTTTAAGCTTTAAAAGGCTAAAACTTCAGCTGTAATCACAGTTTCTGAATCAAGTCATCCTATCGTCAGTATGAAAATACCCCAAAATTGCATTTGACCTGCATACTTAGATGTATCATCATCCTCGATAAATGAGGAACAATCCAGCTTATCAGAGGTCAAACAAAGGCAAAATTCCCACTAATGCTGGAAGATACTAAAAACAATCAATGCTATGGACTTGGTATCAGTTATGCACAAGCGCATATGATTAATCTTGGGTAGGAGCGCCCTGGTTAAGCTCTGCAAATCTCAGACCCACACGCATAGAGTGCTTCAGGAATTTCTCAGCGCACCTCCGGACACATGTCTCCTCCTGTTTGTCAAGAGTTTTACGTCGGAAGGAGTCAACGCAGTCTGTGAAGCATCTCTCCACCAGAGAATTGTACATCCTTAGACTGAATCAATTTCACAAAATATAGCAAATTTGTCAGTAATCCATTTAAAAATACAGTGAAGTTTTCTGAGAGCAAATTTTGGAGAAAACATAAAGGTCAAGGAAATTAAATTCGACTATTGTAAACAAATTCAAAAGTTTTAAGTCACACAAGACATAATAACAATTATAAAGAAAAATCTATTACAAAAAATAAATCAGTAGAGAAATACTTTACAAAGATGTCTTTTGATGAGAACACCTTGTAAAATACCATTGTTGCATGGCTTAGAGAAGACTTGGTTTTTACTGTGCACAAATAAAAAAGAAAAAGATGGCACATAAAATGCTTGGAACTAAATGTATAACAGTATATGAGTTCCAATTCCAAATTAACTCAGTACAATAATCCTTGTACTAATAAGGTACGTGCTGCATAGTGCACAGCACCGTCCAGGGCACCCCAAGCCATAAAGCAAAGCTATGTCATATAGATCATTTTGTCAAGTGTGCACCACAAGAATTCATACACATCCCTCAAAAGAGTTAAAACCAGTAAAACCATCAATAACTTAACCCCACAAAGCCAGTTCTTTAAGTAAAAAGAGATCGTCGATAAATATATTACAAAATAAATAATAATAAAAAAAAAAATCAACCCCGAGTCCCTGAGAGATAAGAGACCTCTCATCTTTTGCTGATACTTTAAATTCCATCACTCTAGCTCTTTCAATCATTTGTTGCTTGTAGTAATTGTCGTTTACAACTGTAAATATATAATACCAAAAGCTGCTCCTAAGCCAAAAAAAAAAAAAATTGTTCCAAACTTCCTCAATATGCATTTTTCCCAAAAAATACTCCATCCCCTAATAAAAGTTTGTTCTGCACGGGTTTTTAGGAAGGTTAATTATTGATTAAAGCTGTAAATATAAATATAAATGGAATTTGGTCGATTCAAAATGAAGAGGAAAAGAAAATAATAGGATTTGGTAGATTAAAAGTGAATAAACAAATTAAAAAAAAAAAAGAAAAGGTGAAATGGAAATACTTAAAGAAAAATTGTCAAGAATAATATGACCTTCCACCGATCTTCCAAAAATAAAACGACCTTTGACATGCATTTGCCTAAAATAGAACATGACCGGTTTAATAAGTCAATCCTGACACGTGTTACATTTTAATTGGCAGTTTTTTTTTTTAATTTAAAAATCTTTCAAAAAATAAATTTATGAAAAAAAAAAACCAACCGCTCAGTCCCTCCCCGTCAACAGCCCCCGCTCCCCGTGACATCCCTTACCACTAGAACGGCCACACCACCACTACTTTCACCATCAACACCTGACCACCATTTTCCTCATCAACCGTTACCCTCGCCTACACCCACACTAAAATTAATCAGACCTACCCCGAAACCACCCTTACCTCTCACTCAAAACAACCCCTACCCACCGAAAAACCACCCTTACCCACCCAAAAACCACCCTATTACCTTGAAAACCCACCCATAACTCCTTTATGTCATAACTGACAACATCCATCCCAAAATCAAAGGAATCAATTTGTTTTTAAAGGAAAAAAAATAACAAAATTTCAATTGAAAACATGCTTTCTTTTTATCATTAATCATGATTTTAAATGACTGAATTCAACCATAAAACCTCAAATTTAACAATGGTAGTGATAGAATAGCTAGAGGAGAAAGGAGGAGAAATGGAGACGACAATGCAGTGGTAAGAAGTGAAGCGGCGAGGTGGCTGAATGGGGAGGAAGATGACCACGGAAGGGGAAGTTGAGGGGAAGCGGGCTGAACGTGAAAGGGGACAGGTGGATGGGGAGGGGATTTATTTTTATTGAGTTTTTTTTTTAATTAAAATTAAAATCATTCATTTATAAAAGAAAAATGTTTAAAAAAAAATAATAACCAACCAATAGGCGACATGTGTCCAGTTTAACCTATGAAACAGTTTACCGGTTTTTTATTCTATTTATGAAAGATGTGTGTCAAAGGTCATTTTAAAAGGTCGTTTTATTTTTGGAAGAATGGTGAAAGGTCGTATTATTCTGGACAATTTTTCCAATACTTAATTAGTTCCAACTTAATTGCGACACTAGCTCTTTCAATATTATGTTTCATTTATCTAGACCATGTTTTGCATAGTTGTTATGGCATAGAAATAGAAGAATTTTCTGAGTTAATAGAGAGAACTACAGAAAGATAAAGTATTGGAACATAGTAATAGATAGTGGAAAGAGAGAAATGTAAGCAAAAGTGGGTAGAGAGAGTTTTACATGGGTATTGTGGTACATCCAAATAAGAAACCATGTAAATATTTATGGGATAGAAAAGGCCCAAAAGTATCATGGGATGCTGAAAAAGATAATATTGCTCTTAAAAGGGGACAACGGGACTACTTTTTCCATTATTGACGCCCAAATAGATTTACAGAGTTAATGAAATATTGCATTAAAAATTAATCTTTCAATGCATTTCTAGGACACACAAAAATGATTTTATACCACTTATATTACAGTTCATAGTTCTTTGCAATTACCATATACAAACATTTCATAACTTGACCAGATTGAAAATCAACCAAACACCTACAGAACTAAACAACTCAGAATATCTTGGGGAAAGTCAGATACTTAAGTTAAAGGGGACTCTTGACATCTGCAATTAAATAAACATTAATATAGGATAGGAGCATTTTACCATCAAAAAGTCCCTGCCTGAGTAAGTATATATGTATGTTCTAGTAGTTTAACTTGTGACAAATTTGGTTTTAAGGCACTATTTTGTAAACAATCTTACATGCAGTAAGACTTTGTATCTACTTTCAATATTAACCTTGCATTAGCAAAGATCTAAATTTATAGAAAGCATACATGGGATGGAAATGAAATCAAAAACCTGAAGTTAGGATTGGAATTCTACCTCATTATATACTTGTTAGATTATGAATCATATCACTACAATAAATGAATTCAGAACTAATTATTTGATTCCATGTTTTTGGTTGCCTTGTATTTTAATGTATGCCTTCTTATGCTGTGATTCCTTCCTCAAAAATAATTTAAATAAATAAATCATCCCAAAAACATAAGACGAGAAATTCAATTGGACACCAACTTTTTGGGCAAATGAGAGGATGGAGGTATCTAGAGGAAACGAGGATCCTAAGATGTGGCAGTAGAGTTGTTGACGCACATAGATACTTTAAAATTGGGCAGGAAAATCTTAATGAAGAGTGGTGGTCTGAATAGTAGAGGAAGGTGGTGCACAGAAGTATCCAGAATTGATGGGGGATAGATCCAACTGCCCTGAATTTAGCCATGAAGAAGAAGCTAGTTGTAGAAACTGAAGGAAAGGACACTTTCATCAAAGAGAAAGAAGGAATTCAAATTATACAAAACAAGCTAAAATAAAGGCCAGCTCTAAGGTAAAAAATTGGGTTGACTATTCTGAAGTCAAAAGTCCTTTTAAGGGGGAAATATCCTTAATTGGGCTTCCTAAGATTAAGCCAACCAACGCTAACACTCAACTCATATCTACCCAACCCGTGTTCAAATTAATGCACCACTGTGTTACAACACAACCCTCTTTGTCACTCCAGCCAGTAGCCAACAGCCCAATTACAATTGATGATTTTGGGCCTGAGTCTAACTATCTTATTTCTAAGCCCTCACCAAATTAATCAACCCTCATTTCTCAACAGGCAAAACCCTTCATCTCATAACTCCACCTATCAACAACATCCTATTCTTTTCACCACGACATGGTGACACTCTCCAAACTTATTCACTCCACATTTTAATGAGACAAAAGCCATGTCTGAATTCACTCACTAAGACCACTTTTCCCAACCCATTTTTTAAAAACCTGAACTTTCTACTACTCGGTCCATAGTTCATTACACCATATCTCAAAATCTGTCCAGCCCACTCAAAAATCAAATTAAACCAGTTTTTCTAATTCAAAAGGCCCCAACAAAAAAACAAACCCCCACTTCATGTCATCATCCCACAAAAACCTCCAAGATTATTTCACCATAGCTATGCCACCAGTAGACGTACATAAACTCATCACTAAGTGCCAGGTGGAAGCCTGGCATCAATTTTCAAATTGAAACTGACCATTGTTGTTGAGGCCAGGGATTTAGCACCAATTATCATCCACCTTGAACAAAAGGTGGAAGTTAGGCAGCTGGTAATTTAATGAACTAACCTAAGGAGGAGGGGTGGTGTAGGCAGTGCATAATTAGTGATAAAGAAATCACAGGAAATACTTTTGAGGGTTTTCTTTAGATTTAGTTTACACTTTGGGTGAGAATAAATCTCGAAAGCTAAAATTATCTTTAATTTCAGCTTCTAATGCAAATTTCCACCTTATTCTTCCTTTATAATTATGCGCAAATTTTTCTCACGCTGGGGAGGGAGGCATGAGATCTCATTCCATTAAGCAGGGAGTAATTCCAAGAGCTAAATACAAGGTTCAGGAGGTTGGTAAGAAAGGACTTCATACTAAATAATCTCAAATTGAACAATTGTATAAAATTTTCATTTCATTATATTCCTTAGATCCATAATATAAACCAGAAAACAATGCTACACCAACATCTTTTATATCATATACAAGACTTACCAGCCCACAACCAAAAATCTTCCAACTTGCAATTTACTAATTTACCAATTTGAAAACAAACCCTTATGACTTAATCCCAATTATTTCCTGTAAATTGATATTTGTGCAAAGAATTTTTATCATTTCTAACATACTACACACAATATAAGCAGATCATTCATTTCCTCTTCCTCATCCTCTTAATTGATCAATCGAAAATTGAGCATATCACATTAAAATCCTAAGGGAAAGAGCAGCTCGAAGTGACGTGAGCAGAATGCAGTCGTATATTCAAGGCTCACTACAACAACCATTGACCTAACAACCTATATTCAAGGCCTCAAATACTTTCAAACACAAGTATGCTTTCCAAGCAAGACAACCCCAAAGCATTAGAATCCTCTTAAGACTTCCTATTCTAGTTACACAAATAAACAATCTAATCATCGGAATCCTCGACTAAATCATCTGTCACTTCCATACCAAATATACCATTTCAAAGTCCCAATTAAGAACTCAAAAACCTAAGAATCCTAATTCAGCATCACAAAGCCGAAAAAAAAGTCAAATACATTAGATTAAAAGAAATACAAATACTCACACCCCCAAAATCTTCACAAATTAGAAGCAATCAAAAACCTCAAACTTGTACTATGAATAAATTCAATTAAAAGGCAGAATCAAATCAATTTTTCTGAAAACAAGAATATGTATGAAATCTAAAATGATTGACAAATAAAGATGAGTAAAGATAGAGAAAGGACCTGTCGCGAATCTGGAGCTGGTCGATCATGGCGGCCATTTTCATCTTATCTTCTTCGGGAAGATTGTCGAGGTCTCCTAGCATGTTCTTGTCCATTTTTGCAGTGCTGCCGGCTACAATTCTTTCTCTCTCTCTCTCTAAAACCTTTTTTGAATGTTGTCCTTTTCTTTTTCGTGTTTCCTTCACCACAGCTTAAACCCTAAAAATGCACTGGAGTGAGTACTGGACCCTTTGATTCTTCTTCACGAAATCTTAAGCGGTTGCAATCGTTACATTAAACACTTAAAACTTCACATTTGACGATAACGCCCTCTTTCAGTCTCTCTTACAAAAAAAAAAAAAAAAAAAAAAAAAAAAAAAAAAAAAAAAAGCACTGGAGTGAATATTGGACCCTTTGATTCTTCTTCACGAAATCTTAACCGGTGCAATCGTTACATTAAACACTTAAAACTTCACATTTGACGATAACGCCCTCTCTCAGTCTCTCTTACTTAAACAAAAAAAAAAAAAAAAAAAAGAAAAAAACCTCTTTTGTTTTGGACTAATTTTCAAGCTCGCCCCCATTAATCTACGAGATGAATTAACCCATTCATCTTAAGGAAAATTTGTTAATCACATTCCTAAAAATTAACACTTTGTCAATTATAACAATAAAAATTGTTAAATACTACCTTAAAATATAAAATTTTGTTAGTTACTACCTTTAAAAGTTTCGGTCGTATTAGCCTAATTATTATGTCAGTATGTCACTTATCAACCTTAACGTAATTTATAACATATTAATCTCATATTTGTGGCTTATTAATAATTTTATTAGCCTAAAAATGTAAATTATGACGTCACTTATAAATAGACAAATGTAATTTATGTCATTTTAATATCATTTATCAATGGTTTCCCTCTACTAGCCTAAATATAAATTATATATATATAGCAATTAGTGACGTCATAATTGGGCTAATTTGCTGAAAGAGGATCGGAGATAATAATCGTGCAAATTAAACATTTTTTTTTATTTTGAAATAGAATTAAACAATTTTAAGCGTAGTAATAAACAACTTTATTTTTTAGGGGTAGTAATTAACAAATTGCCCTTTTTTCAGGTAGTAATTGACAAATTTTTTTTATTTCAATAACTTTTATATTCCAGGTAAGCATAGTTAATATTTCAAAAAAAAAAAAAAAAAAAAAAAAAACCGGTAAAGGTGGGTCCATTTATTCGTTAGCTTACGGCGTTATCATTACATTAGACGGGGTGTAGATGGTAGACCTAATCAAAGTGTGGACCAGGTGAGGTTCGAGCAAAAAATATCAGCCCATTTCTCGGGTTAGGCCGAAAATTTCTAATTCTTAGTACTTAAACCCTCATTTAGGCAAACTTGCCTACACCTCCCCCCCCCCCACTAAATTACCATTATAACCCTTCTAGATACCCACTCTTTCCATTTACTGCATTTTTCTTCATCCTGCATCTCTCTCTCTATTTTCTCTCTCATCAAATATTTTGAAATTGCACAATTCTGAAAAAAAATCTTTAAATTTGTTACAATAATCAACAACAATGTTTGATATACTAGATGAAATTGCACTATCGAAAGAAAGTTCTCCAAAAAAAATGGCAAAATCAATTCGTAAGTTTATTTATTCATTTTTTACGATTAAACCCTAAATATTTTTTAAAAATTTTACGATTTGTGCTTATCATAACTAATTAAGTGCAAATTACAAAATATTGTTAAAAAACAAGTAAACAAAGTAGTAATATGAAATTTCAGAAGTAGAAGTTCATGATTTCATGTAATTTTTATCATAAAAATGATTTCTTATGATTATAGTAGAATGATGTTTGGTATACTCTGTTGTAAGTTGAATTAACTTCTGGTGTGTGTTATTAGCTTATAAAATTACTGGACAAAAAAAAAATAGAGTTTAATTTCCCAAATTTTATAGACAATTTGATTTATTTCGTAAGATTATAGAAACTTAAATATAGTTTGCAGTGATTTTTTTTTTTTTTTTATAAATGTTCATCTTTATTTGGTAAATGTTCATTTATATATTTGTATATGGTCATTCACATATTAATAGATAATCATTAGAATTCTTCACAAATCTCTCATAATTTTTAATGGAAGTGATTCTTATAATAATAATTGAATTATGTTATTAAAACTATTATTCGATGAATTTCATCTAGTATATTTAATCTATCGTAAATGTTCATATTAAATGGACTTCATGTTCATTTGTAGAAGGATTAATATTCAAAATATAATTGCCAAAAAAAATTCAAATTACAATAACTAAAGTTAAAGACAAATTATCAATTTGATTTACGAAATTGAAGTATCAATTATCAATTAATATTACTTATTTTAAACTGTTATTTGACGAATTTTGGCTAACGTAAATGTTCGTTTAAGATGGAAAAAAGATCAATTTAGATGGAATTTGTTTCGGGGTTTTCTGATGTCCTGCGGGAGAGTTACAATTTCGAGACTGGAACCGGACGCCTGTACCTGCAAAACAAACGAATGCTCCGGATGATTGGAGATCCGCCTCCGACGGTCAAGTTAGTACTTGATTAAGGAGTAATTAATGCGGAAATTAAAGTGATTGGGTCTCTCTAGGTGAGAGTGTTTAATGTGTGTAATCTGCGTGTTCCCCCTTAATGAGGATTAAGGGAGGTATTTATAACCTCGGGAAACGTGCCAATCCTAGGTTTAGGTTAACCTTGGGCTGATTGGGCTTCCCTCGGAAGTTGGGCCTAGGTGGCCGACTTCTCCATTAGGCATGGAGTATGCCACGTGTCATGACATAATAGGTCCAGGGTGGACGAATAAGCGTGTGCCACGTGGCAAGCCCTGAGAGGTCCAACTGGGGGACACTTGGCAGGACCTGATTGGCCCACGTGACGCATTCCGATTGGTGGGAGCAAAATCCCCTAATCATTTGCCCCTCACAGGTGGTACGTGACTGGTCACGTGTTACCTGTGACAGGTGTCGCCCTGTAACAGGCGACGGCCTGCTACAGGTGTCACTCGGCGAAAGGCCAAGAGATTCTCCCGCCCAAATTTTGAATTCCGGAAGTGACCCTTCGCCTTCTCACTTCGCCTATATAAGGGAGTGTTGCCTTCGGTCATTTTCACACTTGAGAACTTTGTGAGAGAACATTCGGACCCCTGAACTTGCTCTGACATTTTGGACCCTTTCTGCCTACCGCCTGCTCTGACAAGCCAACTACAAAGGATTTTCAGAACTTCATCAATCGTCACTCGTTCAGGTAACCGTCGGTTCTCTTACTCTTAATTTTCTCTTTACTTTATTCTTTTTTGAAATGGCACCACGGAAGCACATGACACGACCTAGGTTAGCGATCAGCCGGTCACCGGGGACGGCTGAATCTAGGACTAGGAGTGCCGCCTGCCCTTTTCTGGACCCATCTTTGCCCTTTATACAAAGTCCGACTGTATCTGTGTTCTATGCAGAACATGATGGCCAGAACAAAAAAGACGGCTAGGATCTCGAACTCAGACGACTCCTCCCATCGGGTGCCGATTAGTGAAACATCTGACCAGGCGCCAGATGTGGAAGTGAAACAAAGCGGCTTGAAAGCTGGCAGTTCTGAGGGAGGAGTCAAAGTGACCCCTTCCCATTTTACAGTTGACAATTCTACATTCTCTCCTGCTCCTTTTAAAGGAGAGGAGGCGGGCCCCTCTGGGAGAGGGGAGGAGTCGTCCTCTTCGGATTCGTCAGAGGACGAATCCGATTCTAGCTCTTCTGGCCATGCTTCTCTGGACACAGAAGAGAAAAACAGTCGCCTACAAGAGGCGAGGCTTTCTCACGCAGTTGAGAAGGGGGACAATTGGACGGAGCCATCCGCCTCTCACCGAGAGCAAAATACCCCCTACTACTGCACGGTACCTCGGGGCCGGATCACGGCCATGCAAGAAAAAGTGGGGAGCTTTATCGCAAACCACACAATGGGCCCCGGCTTTTTAGTGTTCGTGCCGGATCCAGAAGACACAGTCGTCTGGCCGGCTGGTACTAGTTATGATGGCGCCTGCTTTGGATGCTACGAGGCGGCCATCAAGGCTGGGCTGCGCTTCCCACTACATCCGGCTGTTTAGCGGATCTTGGATGGGTATGAGTTGGGGTTATGGCAGTTAGCCCCGAACTCTTGGGTCAACGTACTCGGCTATGTGGCCGGGTGCGAACTGCACGGGGTGGAGCCGAACTTCGAGGCTTTCGCCCACATGAACTACCTCAGCCGGACCCCTAAGGCAGGCGGTACCGGCTGGTATCAATTGACGAGCCACAGGGGCTACCTCATGACAAGAGGTAAAGCAAACAAATGGAAGGACTGGCGGAGCACCTTCCTTATCATTGAGAGTTCAGACACAGAGCTGAACAAACGCTTCAACAGGTGGAACAGGAATCCGCCCCTTCTTGCAGGCGGCCGCAGCATGCCGCCTGTTCCCCCCAAAGCTAAGAAAGAGATCCTAGATAGAGGACTCTTCATAGTAGAGTCGAGGGTGAACTCTACTTCAGGGGTACGAGAGCAAGTACCCCTGCACTGCGTCCCGATCTTCAAATGGCTCTACGTTGAGTACTTTTTGGCCGCCTGTGGCCTCAGCAGTCGGTGCTCAAGAGGTAGCCGGCCTGTCGAATCCTCTGTTTTTCCGTGCATTTCGGTGATGACTTTTTATTAACTTTGCTTTTTGTTTTTGCAGCAGACGCCATGAGCAAAATTACTGCCTCCAAGACTGCGGCGGCCATGTTGCGGGCCTCCATCATGCAACAGTCTTCAACCGACTCCCCCAACAAGGGGGCACCCTTGGTGGGCTTCGAACCTTTCACTCTCTTTTTGGAGTTGTGTTTATGCATATACTGACTCTTTTCTTCTTTTTTAGACGGGCGCTCCAAGAGCTTCTTCTTCCCAACAGCCGGACTCCAAGGCCCGAAGGACGACTGTTGCGAGCTCTCCTGGTTCTGCCAGGAAACATGCGGCGGCTGAGAAACAGCCGGCCACTCCTTCCAAAACTCCAATTGGGTCGCCTAGAAGTATGAAGTTGTCCTTGTAAATTTTAGACTTGCTCCCTTCTTTACTAGGTCTAATCCGTTTATCTATGCTTAATGCAGCCGGCCCTCAGGAGCCTGACTTGGTCAAGGTGGCCAAGTCTATGATCAAGGCCGTTCCTCCAGCTGAAAGGGAGGCGGTCAGGGGTGTCAGCACCCTTGACCTAGACGGGATTGCAGGAGTCCTTGCTGAGGTATACTTAACATATTTTTGAGTATTTGAATTCCAGGACGCCTCTCTTTTTTTTTTTTT